TCTCCCGCTAAGGCGGCTCGCTCGCGGCTCAGCCCGGGCCCCAGTCACTCCTCTCTCCCCAAACTCGCCTGGCCCGTGCAGCTGTGCACAGGCGGGAGCGGCGTGTGCGTGTAGATGGGTGCATGGGCACATGTGTGCCGCTCGCGCACGTGCTTGTCCCGCGGCATGTGTGTAGACATGAAGCTGCCACGTGTGCCTTGAGCAGTGCGGGTCTTGTGTGTCCCCTGGATGGCAATGTTCAGTGGAACCCTGTTCTCCCTGTGGTAGGTCCTGTGTCTGGAAGCCCTGGGAGTAAAGCTCTCACCCGGAGCCTGGAGGGTTGTTAACCTCCTAAGTGCCAGCAAACCCACTTTCCCACTGTCCTCTGGACGCCCAGCCCCAGCCTCCCTGCTGCAGCTGTGCTGTGGGCAGAGCCCTGTTTTCTGGGTGAACACAGAGGGCCCCAGGAGCATCGTGCAGAGACCACATGCACACACATACTAAATGTGTGGGTGCCCACATATACACACTCACACTGGGGGTGAACCGCGTACAAGGCTAAGGGCATGGTCTCCCGCCACAAGGCTGGTGGGAATATGGGAGGACAGAGGCCCTGACAAGCTCCATGAGTGGGTTCTAGGGTGGAGGACAGCCACATGCAGGAGTCCAGAGGTGGGGCTCCCCAAGAGGCTTCCACAGAGGGGTGGGCGAGTGGTGGTAAAGGGTCAGAAGGTTCTCCATGGAGGGAAGAGTCATGCAAAGGGCCTGTGGAAGGTGAGTGTGCAGGTGTGAGGACCAGACAGGAGTTTGAGAAGAGAGTGACTGGCAGGAAGGGGATGGGGGTGAGAGTGGGGGAGCTTCAGAGGAAGCAGGACCAGAACTCAGAGCCCTGTAGGCCTCAGGCTATGTCCTGGGGGCAGGTGACCTGGGAGGGTCTTAAACAGGGATGGTAATTTGGCCAGATGGACATGCCAAAGAGATGGCTCTCAGGAGCAGCAGTGTCAGGGGAGGCAGAATACACAGGGGTCCGCCCCGCCCACCCCTACACTGTATGCACATGTTAACCTAAGAAACACTTAAACCTGTGAAGAATTGTGAGTTTATTGAGCCAAACTGTCGACACATGCCAGGAAGCAGTATCTCAACAGTTTGAGATGATGCTCTGGAGAATGGCAGTTTTGCAGTTTTATACATTATAATCAAAAGAGGAGACCTAAATGGGTTACGTGAAATCCATGGGTGAAAGATCAGGGAGGTGGGAGAAGGAGAAGGGGGGAAGCTCTGGGATTAGATAGGAAGTAAAATGATGGACACACAGGTCTTTGACTTAGGCGGGTGCAGGACAGTTAACAGTCAGCAATTAACTCAATAACAAGGAGGGGATTTGCGGAGCTTGTGCTTTGAAGGAAAATTACTTTGTTTTGCAAAGGCATGTTAATCGGGTACGATATCGAAGATGCAAAAGACAAACAGGCTCAGTTAAGGTAAAGATTGACCTTTGTCAGGGAAGATAACAACCTGGGACACGACTACCCACCGTAAACTGCTTTCAGTTTAAAAAGTTTTAATTTCAGACCATCTTTTATGGTTACTTTAGGTCTC